GATCCCTTTTTTCCGCGTGTGGGAATGGTCAAAGGTACTGGAAAATTTAATGGCTGCATCCTTGCTAATTCAATATTGCATCGCTCAGATCAGCCGAGATATTCTTGCTCGTCCTCGCTTCGGCGACAATTTTCGGAGTTCCTGCAGACCGGGTAATAATGTACTCGAAGTTGGATAAAACAGCCGTCAAGTGCATTAATAAACACCGAGCTGGCGGGTTATTTCGAACATGGCGCGTTCCAAGTTGAACATTGATTTTCTTACTTTCATCGCGACGAATTGGGTTGTCCAACTTCGCGCCGTTCGTTTTATACACTTAAACCAAATTACGTTAACGATTAAAATACAACAATAGTAATCGAAAACATGTCCCCCTCGATGCGATTTCTTTTCGACGTTTCAGGTTGTTTTTGAAAATGAAATATGTCTTACTTATGAGCCAGCCCAATAAATCGCGGGTAATCATTCTGACGTTCGGGCAGTTTCAGAAATAATACTAATAATAATAATAATAATACATTTTTAATGTTTAAACATAAACCGACAAGCCAAGTCAATAATTTGGAGGGAATTTTTGTCACGTTAAGACAATGAAAAAAAAAAAAAAAAGTAGTATGACAAAATATTGAACGTTTAAACGGCACGGACTTGCGGGCTAGCCTGATAATTCGCGGGTAATCAATTTGACGTTCGGGCAATTTTTTAGGGGGAAAAAAAAAATAATAATATTACAATATTCTATATCCTTAAGTGACGTGAATTTATGGGATATGGAATAATACGCGGATAATCGCAGATTGACTTCTACTGGTAATATAGAAAATCAGCGGGCTGTGGTACGCGGCATGGGCGCACTCCGAGAGCTGGCTTCATTGTAATCTTTACGACGCATTTTGTCGGCGATCGTAAAAGCGAGGTATAAATAGCCTTATCGGCGGCCCCTCCAGTAGATAAGGCAGTTTTGACACAGCGCCCGACTTCGAGGAGTGCATTGTTGCCCCGCTATCTTTAGGTTATCCGCCCCCTCTCGTTAGTGCCGCCACAATATGTACCGAAGATGCACACGTGCGATCGAAAATCGAGAGATGCAGAATTGACATCTAACTTTCAAGTCATGATCACGCTCCGGGATTTAAACAACAGCGAATAATGGAATTACAACCTCCTGGTGCATGATTAACCCTTTGAGCGCTGTCGACGCATATGTGCGTCCGACGTTTGGTCGAATATCGCTAGCACGCCCTGACGAAATTCGCCCATACGCCGCAAGTACTTAGCACCCAAAAGGTTAACACTAGAATTCCCGACAGACTTCTTTTGTCTTAGGTGGACTATCTGAAAGCAGTCATATTGCCTAGTTTGTCAGTACTAGTGTAAACGATATTCCTAAAATTCATCGACATTTAGTACATGATATTGCAATAAAATTATCAAGTTTGACGTCTCGAAGGTGAATTAGTACACACTTCGACGTCGTTATAAATATCTAAATGGCTGTGATTTTGTTAATATCTTGTAATTACGTGAAATTGAGTAGGAATGTTCACACGGTTATGTACGAATTTGTGAAGTATTGTAACTCTGTAACATGCAATGAAATACATAAATAAGATGTTACAATATTCTTATACAGTTTCTGAATAAGACTGCCAGGAAAAGTGTTAGGAAAATTGGGAAATTCCTTTTTAACGGCGTACTTTATCGAGCGAGAATGTCACCGCAGACTTTTGGCTAGCAGAAAGGAAGAGAGAGAGAGAAAGATTAGCCGATCATTAAGCTAATTTATTGTTAAATTTGACAGGGAGAACGACGTTAAGCCCCGCTTCTCCCTGCGGCTTAAAGTTAACGCGTAATCGCATTAGCCGCCGAGAGTTGCCTTAATTATGCATTCCGTTGGCCCGGAAGACCGCAGCCAGACTTTTGGTTAACTTCGACCGGGAATTAATTTCCGATTCAGCGGAAAAATAACGAGCGGGAATAACAGACCAATATTAATTTTTCAGATGTTCGCAATCGCTTCGGTCGAAATAAAAAAAAAAGCGCCCCAAGTTTCCGATCGCCCAACCAAACGTTCCCTTATGCTACCCATAAAGAAACCCTGTATTTAATTTTAAAAAATTGCAACTTCGTAACATTTTTCTTGAACGTTTCATTCGGACATGGTATACTAATTCTATAGCATACCACCAAGCAAAATCTGAAACTTGCAATTAATTCAGAACGTAAGGGTGTTAATTTCCTTACACAATTTCATGGTAACCTAAGATGGCGTTAAAAAACTGTACATTTCTTTAGAAATCCATAAAAAATTCCATAATTCATTTTTGAACAAGTAAAATTCGTGATTTCTCTGTGGTCTTACATACCGTCAGTATCTGAATGTTATGAATATTTTTCAATATTAATGCTATGCCAAGTTGTGCGGACTTTCGGCGAGCGTGTTAGTACGCCCTAAACGCGACTTAAGTCGGACTTAATGGCGCTTTAAGCCCCTCGATAAAGCGGGCAATTCGAAATCACCAGGATAAGTAACAGGAAACGCGAGCACCGACACACAGGTGTGCCTGTGTGTGCGTTAAAACGTAACATAACCGCGTAAATATGTGCGCATGCATAATGCTAGGCATAACCGAGTGGGTTTATTTATAACAGCCGCGGAAATACGCGCCGTGCCTTATTGTAACGTTACGTAAGATCCATTGTGTAACGTAATTCATGATCTTACGCGATCTCGGGGTTTGCGAGTGCTGATCTCAAATCGAGGAGCTTCCGGAGAAGTCCATGGAAGCTTAAGGAGGCATGAAAGTGGCTGAGAGATCTCGCATATGAAGAATTTCACCAAATCGTTTGGAACTTTACCATTTGAAAAATGGAGGCTCTAAGGAAGGTCCTGACACCCATGAAATTCAATTTTTAAAATGTTTACAAACAGGCGTTAAATTGTTCCGGAGGAAAATTCCGTGGAGGCTTAAGGTGGCATGAAAGTGGCTGAGAGATCTTGTATACGAAGCATTTCACCAAATCGTTTGAAACTTTACCATTTGAAAAATGGAGGCTCTAAGGAAGGTCCTGACACCCATGAAATTCAATTTTTAAAATGTTTACGAACACGCTTTAAATTGTTCCGGAGGAAAATTCCGTGGAGGCTTAAGGTGGCATGAAAGTGGCTGAGAGATCTTGTATACGAAGCATTTCACCAAATCGTTTGAAACTTTACCATTTGAAAAATGGAGGCTCTAAGGAAGGTCCTGACACCCATGAAATTCAATTTTTAAAATGTTTACGAACACGCTTTAAATTGTTCCGGAGGAAAAGTCCGTGGAAGCTTAAGGTGGCATGAAAGTGGCTGAGAGATCTCGCATATGAAGCATTTCACCAAATCGTTTCAAACTTTACCATTTGTAAAATGGAGGCTCTAAGGAAGGTCCTGACACCCATGAAATTTCATGAGCATCGCGTTCTTCCTTGGGGCCTATAAAATGACATGCCGAAGTTGCAAATGATGCGGTGCACCCCAGTTTTGAGAAAAGTATTATAATTTCACGTTTCACATGGATTGATTGACCCTTTCGCATCACTTTAAGCCAGTCGTGTAAACGCGAAGACGATATAACCGCGGTGGGTCGGAGTGTCGGTAAGGTCGCATTCCCGTCCGGTTCCCCTTCGGAAATGGCCCAGGGTTTATTTCCCCCGGCGCTCGCCGCGCCCTCTTAGAGCGCGGGAGCCCGGTGCCGGGTATTTATGATACTGGGGCGCGAATGTGGCTAAATATAGTCGAGTTGCGACACACGCATCGCCGATGCACCGTGCACTCTCCCACACACCGAGGTACACCCTGTACACCGATCGCGTGGTGCACGCGCGACGTACCCGCGGTGGGTGCAGCGAGCCTCTCTGACTCAGAACAGGAGGATGCGCCGATGCAGGGTCGGCCGTCTATGCTATCGCAGAACCGTGCCCAAGGGCGGTCCACCCACGCTCCTCGGAGAAGAGATTGCTCGGTCTCGGAGGAAGGTAGGATATCGAGGTTCAAGAAATGCAACGAAAGTTTCACAGGAAACGTTTTTCCGTAACATAGATGAAACGTAAAGTGGTAACCAATAGCAAATATGCAGATTCACGCATCGAGCTTGCACTCCGCAAAGAGATTGCTCGGTCTTGGTGGAAGGTAGAATATAGACGAATATCGAGGTTCAAGAAACGCAACGAAAGTTTCGTAGGAAACGTTTTTCCGAAACGTGGATTAAACGTAAAGTGGTAACCAATAGCAAATATACAGATTCATGCATCGAGCTTGCAGAAATGGAAGACACCCAAGGCCTTAAGGTATTACGAAAGGTTCATTCTAAATATATCGAAACGTCAAAATATTTATACAACTTTTCTCAAAACTGGGTGCAACGAGACAGAAAAGTGTCTCAAAATGAATAAATATCTCATCGAAAAAAAAAAAAATAATGAATAAATATCTCATCGAAAAAAAAAAAAATAATGAATAAATATCTCATCGAAAAAAAAAAAAATAATGAATAAATATCTCATCGAAAAAAAAAAAATAAATTGAAAGACATAAGATTGAGAATGTCCGAATGAGGTCAGACAAAAAGGCCTTTTCCGTTCCTAAACTCTTCCGAAAATTCTTGCCGCACATGTTCAGAGTATATCATAACCTAGTGCCGTGAAAGGGGGATATTTCAAAATGAATAAAGTTTCCACACAAAGAGAATTTCATGTATCGCATTTCTCGTGATGCGCGCGCAGCGTATTTCCGGAAGTTTTATAAACGGAGAAGCATTCTGTGTAGTTTCATCTGGACCCTTAAACATATACGCTACTACAGGAATGTCCTATCTATGTTGCAAACCAAAATGAAGTAGTTGTCAGCTCAATGGTTCCATGATTCACGCTCACGCTCAACGATGGACCGTGAGACGTATCAAGACGTTTCGAGTTATCGATTGCCAAGGCCGGTCGGACCCGCTTCGGGGGCAATGTTTGCGATCTTCAGACATGATTGACTTCTGGTATCATGGCTTCCACCATATTTCGGTCCTGTCACCTCGGGAGGCGCTTGCAAAGCCCGCGATTCTCTCCGAGGAGGGTCCTCACGTCGCGTGCTCTTGCGCTCCCCGGAAGGAGTCGGCAGATCCTGAAGAGATGCACCGCCATAGCGATCGGTGGTCTCACAGCTTGCGGGACCTTCTTGTGGGTTCTTGACAGCTCCGTGAAAGCCCAACTCGAGATCGAACTTCCTAATTATCCATGGAGCTTCATGGGGCTCATCTCGTCGCTAGACCATGCCGCCGTTCGGAGAGGTTGGCAAGTCTACAAGACCGTTTGCGCGACGTGTCACAGCCTCCAATACATCAGCTACAAGGAACTAGTTAACGTGACGCACACGGAAGAAGAGGCAAGGGCTATCGCGGAAGAAGTCGAGGTTCGTTTACCTTCAATTTGTTATCATACCCATGATACGATATAAGAAGACCCAACATCCTAGCAGCACCCCCTCGGGATATGTACAAGAAGAATTCCAGACATATGATCTTTCTTCTTATCCCTTTCCACCCCTCAGGGGTTGTTTAGGACGAGATCCTAAAATTGGTTTTCAGGCACTTATACGTGTACTATTTGTTGGTAAAAACCGAGTCGATATCTCGGCGGGTTTGGGAGACATTAAGAAATTTATATAAACATAAATTCTCAAATTTCAATACCGGCTAACGCACTACGTGTGTACCATTCATAAGTGAAGCGGATTCATCGCAATTAATTGCAGATAGAAGATGGCCCGGACGCTGAGGGAAACTATTACACTCGTCCTGGGAAATTGTTCGATCGGATCCCAAAACCATTTCCCAACGACGAAGCCGCCAGAGCTGCCAACAACGGAGCTCTACCCGTGGACTTGACTTTGATCGTTCTGGCTAGGCACAATGGAGTGAACCATTGTTTCTCGGTGCTGACAGGATTCATGGATCCCCCAGCCGGAATCGAGCTCAGAGATGGGCAATTCTTCAACGCCTACTTCCCGGGCGGTGTCATTGGCATGGCTCCGGTGACTATTCCTAAGTTCCTAAATCCTTGGGCAGATCTTCTCTATTCTTTTCTCCGCCTGAGTGTATCGTAAGGCGTTAAGTATCCAGTGCCGTTCGCTCAAGCTCATTAGTGTATTTGGCGCGAAACTCTACCGAGTTTCCTGATGACTGCATCGCAGCAGTTTCATGGTGGTGTAGAACCGATGAGGTCTTTTCCAGATGCTGGTGGACGGCCTCGTTGACTACGACGACGGGACTCCGTCTACGGTTCCCCAGATGGCCAAGGACGTATCCGAGTTTCTCACGTGGACGGCCTCCCGGGAGTATGACACGCGGAAGGTGATGTTCATCAAAGGCATCGGTATCAGTTTGATGATACTCGCCGCGTATACATATCTAACGAAACACAAGTGGGCGGCGCTGAAGACCAGTAAGATCGCCTTCGTGCCCAAGCATAAGTTTTGAAGGAAATGAGTGGCTCTCTTCATAGGTTCCCTCCGAGAATCGAATCTCGATTGATAGTAGAAATAACAAACCCAAGACTTTTTCGGGTTCGACGTTCAGCCTAGATATAGAAACTAGAAATAAAGGTTTCCGTGACCAATCTATCAGGGACGTGGCCAGATTCAATTTCGACTACCATTTCTAAACCCTTTGTGTTTATTCAAAACGCCAAACGGAAGTCTTTGTCGTTCCAAAAAGAATAAAATGGTGCCCAAGAAAAAGCTTCAAACTAATTGAATGGGTTCGCTCCCAGATTCGAATCTCGATTGATAGTAGAAATGGCAAGCCCAAGACTCTTTCGAGTTCTACGTTCAACCTAGGTGTAGAAACTAGAAATAAACGTTTCCGTGACCAATCTATTAGGGAAGTGGCCAAATTTATTTTCGACTCCCACTTCTAAACTCGTCGTGTTGATCCAAAATGTCAAACGGAAGTCTTTGCCGTTAAAAGAAAGAAGAAAAAAAAGAAAATGAAATTCTACTCAAGGAAAATTTTGTTGGTGAATGGATGGCTCCCCACAAGTTCGCACTTCGAATAATAGTCGCAATAGAAAGAGTAGAAACTAGAAATAAAGGTTTCCGCGACCAACCCATCCGGGAAGTGGTCGAATCTATTTTCGCCTCCCGCTTCTAAACTCGTCATACCCTCGCGCCAAACGGAAGCGTCTGCCGTCCAGAAAAAACGAAATCCCGCCTCAGGGAAGCTCGGTGGAGGAAAATGTCTCCTATGAATGTTCCGGAGAACAGTACCACGGATGACTTTTTCCTGAACCACTTTGCGATATTGCGCACCGTTTCGAAGAAAAAAAAAAAAAGATCACATTTCCCGGGACGTCCTCGGTCAGCACGGGGACGATACACATCACGTAGTTCCGTGAAGCCGTTCCGCGTTTAGACGATGCAAAACGGGATCGGCGGAGATCCGTCGAAACGGCGCTTTCGATCGGCCATTTCGCAAGACGTCCTTGGCGTTATTTCCGAAGAGGGCCTAAATATAACCGAAACGGCAACAAACATTAAAGGCGTCGTTTTATGAGTCGTTAACTCTCGTATGACCGGTTGATCTATTTTGCGAGACCGCCGTCCCCCGCGATCCTTAACGATTTATTCTTGGAGGCTCTTTCGCCCTCTAGTGGAGTTTCTTCCGCCTCGGGCTGGTCTTCCTCCCGGTCAATGAGAATTCGTCGTTCTCTTAGAGAAAGAGAGACGTCGATCCCACCTCAAAGGTAACCAAGATAGGGAAGATATTACGTAAGGTCGGGGAAAATTTATCCGGAGAGGTATCACCGGGATGCTTACCGGAAACAGACGTTTCTCGCGGCTCCTTTCGAATTAGAAACCTCGGGCAAAGTGCCCGAGAGGAGCGTTCTCAAAATGTCCTGGCCGAGGGCAGGAATTCCGCGGGATTCCGCGAAAGGAGCTGACGCGAGGGCCGAGAATTAACGACCGTTCAGAACGGCCTTTCCGAAATCATCTGGCACCTCTTTGGGGATTTTTGGCAAGCCGGGGCCAACGAGCAAACCGAACCTGGCGCGGCTTTTCTTGGGCGATTGCGACGACGCTTGTTGTCATTGCGGGCTACCACCCCCAATTTCACCCAAAGCCCTTAACGTTTGAACAAATGCTTCAAACTAGGATTAGAAGACACCGAACAGAGGAACAAAAGTACCCTGTCCGCGTTTCATGGCAGAGAAGCTGACAACAGCAACAATACTATGAACGCATGTGAGTCTTTTCTTTCAGTTTAGCTCTCTCCGAAGTCAGACCAGTATAAGAGATCCACACATCCTACGTTCATAAATTGATTTAACATAGCGTGGTCCAGCTTGGCGATGACTTAAAGCGACTTGGCGGGGAACTTCTGATCTACATCAGCGAAAGCAGGATTCCCGACATCGAGGATGTATCTCGGAAGACGCGCGAGGCCAGAAACCGCCGACATCGTACAAACTCGCCGGCTAATACCGCGTAAGATAAGTTCGCGCCAGTTGGGCCACTGGCTGATATTGGCAGCCCTGGGGCCAGGGCCCTCGGGGCTTCATTCATGCGAGCGATCGGCCTCGCTGCCGAACTCGTCCCCGGAGCTAATTTCGGAACGCCGGCCGGAAGCGCGAATCGCGGAAAACCAACCGCTCGCCGCCGCGTCGTTGCGCAACCCGGGCCAGTATTTCATTCACGTTATTATCCCGGTGTCGCGTAATTCCGCCGGCCAGCTTCTCCTCTTCCCTCCTGTTCGCGTGGTCGCCTTTAATACTTGCGCTCTTCTCCAACGAGCACGCAAGATGGTTTACCGTCGAGAGGGATGTCCGGGTTTCACGATGTCCTCGCGTGTCCAGATCGTACCGCTTGATGGTTCCCTCCGATGTGGCCCAGGAATGATACGGATGTTTACGAACGTCTACGAACGCTTACGAATGTTTGCGAATGTTTTCGGGTGTCGATGCTGGAATAGGACGGCACTTTGCGACCGTCGTCGGTCTTCGTTTCTGTTCCTCTTCGTCCTAGGATGCGTCAACCATAAGATGCAAGTGTACGTTGGTCAGCACGGTGTACGTATCGTTCCACTTCCTGGACATTGCAAGTCCGGGGCAAAGTTTGGGAACGAAAGTGCCGCCGATAGGAGCGAACGTTTCTCTGTCTGGAGGGTAGCAGCTGTGCCGCCGCGTGCTATTAAGGGCGATGCAACGACTTCATGGAAATCCGGCCATGACGGAACGGAAGCGGCTCGGTGTCGCGATGTGTCGCGGCCTCGGTGGTGTCGCGCGTGGGCACGGCGAACTTGACTTTGGTGGCAGCCGTCGTCGTCATCGCCGTTGGTTTTGGCAGAGGCGCCCTCGGGTGTACGCGCCTCCGTTTCCTGGTGCACGATGCGAGGACCCTTAAGACGTAGTCCGCAGGTCTTACCAGGTGACATGCCATCACCCGAGACTCCTGGGATCCACATTTCAGTTCCGTAGTCATCCTCGAGCCTCTTCCCCGAGAAAACCCGCATACCCCAGCAACAGGGACCACGGAGAGGAGAAAAGCTCGCCATTCCTTGAATGCGACTGCGGATTCTGAACCCGCTACAAAGGCCTCCACGTGCGCGCATAATTTAAGCGCAATTAAGGAATTACGCCTCTAGAGAGCGCGGATTATGCAACGCGATTAGGCGCACTACTGCGGCCGTTACGTCGCGGAAAAGTCGGCATCGACGTCAGTAAAAGTCGAGCGATATGTCCCAGGTGAGGAGGTCCCTGGAGACCTGTCCGGCACCTGTGCATCGTTCAACATCAACCGGACAGAAGTGACTCGGTTCGGATTTCCATTATCTTTAGGAAACCGGTATCAACGGACACTCATTATTCCGTGCAGCGTCGTCTTGACGCGCGAAAAGACGCAAAGATCGATCTCACGTGTTGAGCCGGTACTTGTAACTGGTCCGTCGTGTTTTCTTTTTCTGCAAAACCCTGAGTCTGAGTCATCCATTTTTATCATTCGTTTGTTTTTATTTTCTCCCAAGCAAAGGTCGTTCATAGAAGCTCGCGGTCGCCACCTTGCAGTGCCTGAGCGCATATAGCGCGTTACAAAACGCGTTAATACGCGCACATGGCGGCAAGTTAAAAATAGAGGTGCAGTCGACGCACATGCACTCGCCTCCTCGGTACTCCCGTGCCCTGAGACACCTCGTTACGTTGCATTATATATTCCACGAGCTTCATTTAAAACGATTCAGGATAGCGGCCGAGTCATGGCTGCAATTTCCCTTCCAAATCTGGCCCAACCCAACGCTACTCTTCCAGTCATCAAAATTGCCCCCGGAGGGGTGTTTACGACCAGACCACAGATAAAGGGGAAATCTTCGTGTTGAAAACTTGCCAGTCTCTTCAACAGCATCACAGCCAAATTTCCATCGCTAGCAGCATTATCACTGTCACTATCACCCCCGGCGGAAATTTTCATCCGTCAAACGAGCACTCTTTCACTTTGCAAATACACCAACCATATATAACTAGCTCATCAAAGGCCCTGTGCTAGGTCCTTATCGAGCCCGTTACTATCACCATGTTAGGAATGACAATAAAACTACGAAACCTAGTGAAACAAATGATCGTATTCCAAATTCGTTGACTTAATTTTTAACATTTTTAAACAATACCGTACAACTATTCTATCATTCTTTTCCAGCTGCATCTAGGGGGTCCTTCCAGAGCTCTTCTTTGATCTCTACGTGTGCACCTGTTGCATCTGTCTAGTTAAGACGTTGATACCGACGTACCGTTCAACCTTTCCACTGCAAACGACGTACGGATACATCTAACATTCGGTCCACTATTGCCTGCACGTGGTCAGGAATTTCGGCCATACGTCAAAAGGTCCTAGCAGTGAAAAGAGAACTTCTATGCATCTCTTCGTCCATTCGGTGCCTTCCAAAGTGTTGCGTGCATTCGTTCAATTTTCCTTCCGACGTCCCGAGGTAGCCGTCAAAGGAGTTCCCGGTTCATTTCGCGAATCGTTCCTCGCGGAAAGTCAGGCGACCGAGGCGAACCGAAGGAACGGCCGCGTCCGATCGAGGAACGATCAATAAAGACATTAAAAATAGCCGTTGCGCGAGTCCGCGCTCCAAAGTGCACGCTCTATTAATATGAGGCCGCCTCGACACACGCGAGTCGACGCATGAAAAACGCAATCGGCGTCGCGTTCCGCGCGCGGACGTGCCGCGTCTATTTGCAGCCGCGGGGATCGCGAGCGTCGCGTCGTGTCGTGTCGCGTCGCGTCGCGGCGCGGCCGCGCGGCGGAGAGGTTGCGTAAATCGACGCGTACGGCGGAATGCCCGGAATTCCGCGTGTTGTCCGCCGACCGCGTTCGCGCTTCGTATTTAAGCGCGTAAAATTAGCTGCGCCGCGCGTTTTCCGCTCGCGGAGAAAGCTGTCGACGAAACGCAAATTGCCATTCAGAGAGTCCGGCCTCGAACGGCGACGTCGAAACTGACTGCCAATTGACAGCTCGTGACATCGTCAGCTGTTCGATCTCCAAAAAAAGTGCGCAACACGCGGTGCGAACGTTTCGCGTTCCCTTGTTCCCCGTCTAAGAGCTTGTGTCCACGATGCTAAAACACTCCACCCTTAAGGTGATATGAAAGGGTTATTCTATACACGTGAGTGTCAAAATATTTATACAACTTTTCTCCAAACTGAGTGCACCGAATCATTTGAAAGTTCAGCACGTGATTATGGAGGTCCTAAGGAAGAACGCGGTGCTGATGAAGTTTCATTTAAAAAAAGAGAAAAACAAAGAGACGTATTCTTGATACTAGTCTGGGATAAATAAACACATTTTTTTTTACGAACGAACAAATAAACATTTTTTTTTACGTGAAAAGTTACAAGAATCACGTTCTTCCTTAGAGTCTCCACAATCACGTACTGAAGTTTCAAATTATTTGGATCCAGTTTGGAGAAAAGTTTCATAAATATTTTGACAATTCGATACACCAAGATATGAAGGCCCTAAGAAAGTACGTGGATGCTCGTTAAATTTCATTATTTCCAAAAAGAATTTTCTTTGTTTATCCTAGACTAGAGCCAAGATCAAATTTTTTTTCTTGTTTTTGTGAAAAATGAAATTTCACGAGCATCGCTTTCTTTCTTAGAGCCTCCATAATCACGTGACGAAGTTTGAAATCATTTCACCCAGTTTGGAGAAAAAGCTTTATAAATATTTCAACGCCTTCATATACATAGAATGTCCTTTTTATGTCACCTTAATGAGAGAACTTCGGCGACTCTTCGCTGATTAGTCGAAATTGATACGTTAAAACTCCTAACTACAAGGGGACGTAATTAACCGAATAAGAGAGAAGTAGCAGAGACACGTGTTGGATCTTCCCGATGATGCAGCGAGGCTCCACTTGGCACGAGTCGAGAGAAGGAAGTCCACCACTGTCAACTGGACGCATCTGGGATCGAAGTGGGAAATGTTAAACAAAAATAGGCCCCGACATCGTAACTTTAACGACGACGAGAGGCGTAGATCAGAAAACCCAGGTGTCTTGTAAACTTGGGCAACTCCAGTAACGAAAAGTCATGTACATAAAGCTGGCATTGCCACTTTAGCACGATTCAATAAAATTTCTTGCATAATTTATTGCTAACTTATTGCTATTTTCTGTATTATTGTTTTTTGTAATGTGGCAATGCCAGCTTTATGTTAAGCTTAACATAAAGCTGGCATCACCACAGTTTACAGTTTTTCGAAAAACTATAAGAGCAAAAAATTTTTCTTTTTTGCGCAATAAAATCGCAATAAATTCTGCAACAAATTTTATTGAATTGTGCTAAAGTGGCAATGCCAGCTTTATGTACATCGAGAAGTCCGACGAATGAAGTGCCGGTCAGCTGTTGAAAATAGATCACGGGGACACCTCGCTCGGGCAATCCTGATGATCAACCGGACTTTCCCACCCTATTTTCGCCCCGTTAGAAATTAGAACGTCATACTGACTTACGGTAAACGCGCATAATCATTTTCTACAAAGGACAATTAAACCGACATATCTGTGAATACGACTTCCTTCATAGAGAGCCCGATTGCCTCGGAATTCATATAATAAAGAACAATGCGATTCGATAACAGGTGACGGTCGGCATTCAAATCCTGGCTATATTTCCCTAATTTCTCCTTGGGATTTCCTGCTGACTTCCGCGCGATTACTTTATTCGGAATTGTCATTCCACCCTGGGCTAAAGATTTACTTCCTGGACGATATTAATTACCCTCAACGATATAACCGTCTTGCTAAATAAATGTCTTGGTACCAGCGAAATTGATTTTGTGGAAATCATCGGGGTTGCATGGAAAATAGTTGCCATTTCGGATCGAAGGAAGTAATTTCGTGATATGTCAGATTTTTATATAAACATTATTAACGATAATACAAGTTTTTCATTAATATCATCCGCTCGGCCCTACGACTTATATTATTGATACCAGGAAGTAAAACTCTATCTTTCGCGAGAAACCCTTATTTTTTTTTTTTTTTATAGAAAGTGATATTCGCTCTTACGATAGACTAGCGGCTAAAGTTAACACAAATGTAGCATAATTAAGCAGAATTTTGAAAAATATAAATTTAAAAAAATGCGGAGCCAAACACCGCGCCGGTATATGACGCTCCTTGTGTCATGTATTTCTAATTGTCTATTATTTAAGGCCTGCACTATGTACACACAGGTCTTGAGTAATTATTATCCCTGTTAACGTCACAGCGACTAGGAAGTTTACAAATATAATTCACCGATGTCAAGGGCAGTACTCGACACGCCAAGAGACCAGGAAATTTCGAATCATTTTTCATAAGCTATATGTACACAAGGCAGGCTTGGCGAGTGTGATGCTTCTATTTAAGAAAATTTACTGCAAAAATTATAACCGCCACTATGCGAATTATCTGCCCATCCCGTTAAGATTTACGAGTAGTCAATTTACATCCCACTAATCCTGGGCAATATTTATGAAAATTACTGCAATCCCACGCGAAATGGTACATGCTCCAATATGTTTACATCTTCTAGGCTTTCTCTGGCAATCCTTCGCAGTATATTCAAAAGCATGTATTTCTTCTTATTGTTTCGCTGACAACTCATAACTTTACATGTCGTAATCAAAATCAGTGCATAGTTCGTTGATGTTTATCGGAGACATCAGTGAATGTTAAAAATCAAGAAAGCATCTCTAAAGTACTTGAAAACGAGGCATGCATTCACGAGTTAACATCAATTTTTGCATGTACTCACTTTACACATAAATTACAATCATCTTACGAATAATGTTAAAAGTAATGTCGATATAAATTACAGTCCTCTCAACCCTTCAACTGGGATAGTTACCGAAAACTCTGCACTTGCAAACACTTTCGATGAACTCTTTATAACCGAATGTTTTTTCATGCCTAGAAAAAAATGATATGTAAAATTTGCAAAATTAAACCCTCCGTTATAGAATAATGATTAATGTATAATTAATAGACTCCTTGGTTACAAAGGAGTGGTGCGGTAATAAAATGCTACATATTAAACTTTGTCAGAACTATCAAATAAGAGTTAAACAAAATCAGTGCGTCACTGTTGCATGTTGGAAATAAAACTTCTAAATTAAGAAGACTTATTATTCATTATTTTTTCACAAAATGCCCTTACCCGTTCGGTACTGGTTGTTTTGAGCATATCGATACCAACATTCAATGATGAATATATACCGTAATTAATTTTAAAATTCACTGAGAAAATAGCATATGCTAATAAAAATGTTTGTACAAACGATTTCAATATTAACACATAAAGATGATTATAGACAGTAATTAATTGGAAAGAAGAATATTAAACGCAAAGATGAAAATAAATGGTAATTATCTGTAAAAAAGGAAATAAATAAATGAGTCTTCCGCTTTTAGAAACGTTCTCTTTCTTAACATGCGAACATATGCATACAACCGTGGCGTAGGAAGTTTCACTTAAAAGAGTAGACATACAGGACGTGATTTCAAAGCCACAGAACATTATAAAAAGTAATATCTACAATAAAGGTGAAACAAACCCATCCAATTCGTACCTATAAGTATTTCTCACATTTCCAGAGAAGTTAACTGGTCATGCGAAACAAACGTATCGGGCCGAAGTTGGTCAGTACCATTTTGCAGCCTGGAAAGGCATTTTCCACCGACGAGTTAGCTCGTTAAAGGGTTAAAAGTAACGTTCCATACACCTGCAGCATTCCAGACACCTGTACCTCTTACTTTGCTTGCCACCGGCAATCCTTGGTATTTTTAGCAGCGTGCACGCTCGCTTATCCCTCCCACCGATAACTCATAACCTCGCAAATCACACTCGGAGCTGGTACGTGGCCTATCGAGATTTGCGGGCCAACGAGTCGCTTAGAGCCATTAAAAACGCCGAACTATCGCGAATGGCAAATCCTTTCCCACAAGACCCGTCATTTCTATCCTTTTCTCTTCCGTTCTCTCTAAGCGCGACTAGACTTAGAGTGAGAAAGAGAGCAGTACTTGCCTCCAATATTCGGGGGCCGAGCCCCGACTCTGCAACTCCTGGCGAGGGCTCGTCGCTGTCAACTGTCTCAGATAATGCCAGGCCAATCGGAGAGTCACGATAACCGGAAAATAAACGACGATTACGAGGATAACAAGGAATTGTTTCACACCGAAACTTCGAGCCGAGCTGCACGGGACACCGAGCACGAAAACAATGCGAATGCAGCGCCGCGGGTCGGCCATGCAGCCAACTTTCACAAGATGGCGGCTGCTTGGCGGATGCGCGCGCATCCGCCAAGCTGTCTCCAACTACCGGGCGAACAGAAAAATGTATCCATGAAGAGACGAAATTTAAAACAAAGTGAAACCGCTTCAAATCAGTCGATTCAAATATGACGGTTTTTATTAAGGTATTAATAAAAATAAGGTCTGACATTTTAGCACGTGACTCGTGAGCACCAAAGAATTATCCGGACACTTTCAAAATTTGAATTTTTAAAAAAGAATTTTGTTAACTTAATCTAGACCTGATCAAAAATGGAATGATGCTTATGAATTATATTTCGAACAATTATTGAAGGCTCTGATGTGAGAAATGAAGGTGTTAGGGCAATTTAGAACACTGTTAATCGAGAAATGTGCATTTGAACGCGATGAAGGTAAAAAAAGTGACTTATGGGTTGTTTTACACTTAAATGTGGACCATTGCAGATAAAAAAAAACACGTGTCTCTTACATTTTTGTGTTCTTCAATATATATGACAATCAATAAGATCGATGGCGGATACTTGGGAATGTTTCCTTGTGAGTTGGGCCGCCACTGAGGGGTATCAGGTGGCAAGTGAGCGAACCGTTCGCATTCTCCACCGAAGGCAGCACAGAACGCGATTGCGCGACCCAGCCCGTGAGCAATCTCCCAACTCATTTCTGTATACGATTCCGTAAAATACTCAATGAAATGTGACCAGCTGTCAATAGAACATGAACATCGGTAATGTAGATAGAAGAATCTTATTAATAAATTAATTTTCTCAGTGGATTTCATTTCGCATTAACTTGCGGTTAAGGTAAAGCATAAACAGATATGAGTTGGGAAATTGCTCACGGGCAGGGTCGCGCGATCGCACCGTGTACTGCCCTCTGATTTCGTACGTTAGCTTTCACCGTTTTTTGCCTCCAAGGGCGGCGCAACGAATTTCTGGTAGGGGCTCGCGCAATCGTGATGGCTGTGCCATCTACCAGTTGCCGTTGGCGGCTCACGTATTCGTGAT